TCACGATGTATACCTTGCTATATACAAATCAAATAAAGAAATGATGTTTACCTACAAAAAAAAAAAAAAAAAAAAAATAATTAGTAAATAATATAAGTTTTTAAATAAATACATTGTAATTAGTAAAATGTTTAATTATAATATAATATTATATTATACTATGTTTTAAATTATTATTGTATTTGAATCAAAGATTAATAAATATTTCAGATTGCAATCTGATTTAGAAATAAATAAAAAATAAATAAAATAAATAATGATAATTTAATTATTATTTATTTATATAGGTTAAAAATGTTTTTTACATATTATTTTAAACAATAATATCAGAATAATATTAAGTAAATAATTATATCTTATATGATGTTCATTTGCTAAAGGTATAAATAAGCAAGTACGTATATGAAGCGATCTCATATATGGGTAATTCTTTTTGAAGGCGGACAGGGATTTTTCTGACTTTATAATTGTACTCCTAGAATTTATATTGTATATGTATTGTTCAAAAAATAGGGATCAAAAAATCGTATATAACATTTTTGTCGTTTTCAAAAAGAATCAGCCATATACAGTATAACAAAACTTATTAACTTCTTTATTTCATTATTCAAGATAGCTAATGTAATCAACCATAAATAAAACATTACCACATTTGTTATATAATCCATATTAAGCGTATTTTCCGGAAAAAGAATATAAAATAAAAATTTAGCTGATCGTGTTACGTTAGATTCTAATGACGATAAACTTCAGGAATTCACGGGAATTCGCCTTTCACTTTTCTCAAGTAATAAATGAGTAAATTTAACACGACGCCACCACTCGTTGATCTTAATGCGAACAACTCGGTTCAAGAGGGTAAGCAGTTGTACAATATTTCGATCCGTAAAAATGCGACATGCTTCTGATAAAAAGTCCGTGTTACTCTGTTTCTAGTCGAAATACGACTTCACGAACCACTGATTTTAAAACCTGGCTCGCGAAAGAAGAGAATAGGTTTGCAAATCTTAAATGCTCTGGCGAGATTAGAAGTATTGTTGTGTAAGGAAGAGGCCCTTGCAAGTTCAGAAATTGGGGTGCAGAACATGACGCAGGTTGGTGTGGTGGCAAACAGAATACTTTATGAACTTGATGGTTGGAATTGTGTCTCGGCCACGAAATTGCATGATAACGACAACCATCGGGAATGTAATATGCAGTATTCACATTTATATCGAAAGTTTATTCTATAAAATGGTAATATGATCGATTACAATATATTTATCGAGCGAAACAAAAAGATTTATTGTATTGTAAGGGTTGTCTGCTGGAAGGCTCCCTGATGTGGGCTCAACTACACGATTTTTTTTGTTAACGCTATGTCATTTTTTTAGCAACAACATAACAAAATGGAGATTGACGCTACCGTGAGTGTTCTAGAGGCATCTCTATTACAATTTGATGAGGACGGAATACCCAAAAAAGATTTTCAGGTTGGTGTACACTTGATCGTATTCATTATTCATACTCTTGGTTAACTAACGTCGTATTCTTATTTCTTAATTAATAGGCATATTTGACAGAATTAGGACTTACTTCACTTTTTCCAAAGTCTGCAAAACGTTTAGTAGTCAATAAGATTCCTTCGAGAAAAATAGATGTCTCTGGTAACAACGATCGTCATCATGTATTTTTAATGGTCGTCAAAAATCAAGATCCTGTGTACTTACGTATTATCATATACACATCAATTATTTAGCACATTTTAATGAAATGAACATACAAAATCAATTGGTTGCTATTTCATTACGGCTCCAGCAGGATATAAAACTCGTTAATCACAAATACTTGGCACATCAACTTGTACTTCTCTATGTAAGTTCACTATGAAACAATGCATGATGCCGCAATTTTGCAAAAGACTTATAATACTTATTCTTCTTCAAGCAATGCCTTAATCAAGCTGGTGGTCGTTTTCTTAAATATAAATTACGAGTTGAATTGCATTTTGATGAAGTTAAAGTTTTGACAAACCATTCGGAGGAACCGCAACTTACAACCGAACAGAAACGATGGTTAGTGATAATATATTATTATGTTCCGCACTTATAGTGGATTAAGTACATAACATAAACACCGCTGCCTATAATAGGTTGTCACAACTAACATCTGATGTTGTGACGGAAGTACTATTCAGTGGTCAACCTGTAGTTGCAATGTCGCAACCGCTGGCATCCTATTTGAATCTGATCAGTGAGGCTCATGCAAAGGCCAACTAAGTGAACATAGAGATTTTCGTTATTCTCTTGGCTTTCGTTGAGAATTAAATTCTTGGCACCACATTTCGATTGAGAATTATTCATATACATGAAAAATATAAATAAATTTGATCTTTGTTCAGCACTCATTATTTGTTTGCTCATAATCTTAAGTAATTTGCAGTTTGATTCGCCACATATGGCCATATTGACTCAGCCACAAAGGGGCGCTAATCTTACGTAATAAACCATTTGAAATTTTAATTCCGAAAATATTTTTAAACGCACTTGCAAAACGTCCTCGAAATGAGTTCTAGTATGTATGGTATGATGCCTTTTAATGATCGTTTTCGAATCAGTTAACAAAATTATTCCTCTCGTCTGGTAGACACACGAGTCGCTTGTGTGGTATGTAAACAGTGTCCATTATAACGCTACCGCATATTTTTTCTTACACCTGCTGCATTCATAGATGGTGGGGCTTCCTGCCCGTGGAAAGACTTACATTGCTCAAAAAGGTATGTATCAGTTTACTCTTTCATGCCAAAAGCGAAAACCTTCCAATAATTTTTCTTTCTTGTTGAACTAATTTCTCAGTATGTCGTTACCTCCAATGGCTGAGTATCTCAACCAAGGTTTTCAACGTTGGGAATTATCGTCGTAAGCTTCATGGTGCGCACCAGATGCATTCTTTTTTTGATCCCAACAATAAAACGGGGGAGAGTGCACGAAAACAGGCTGCTACCGAAGCATTAAATGATATGGTAAAATGGTTTAAGGAGGAGAACGGCACAGTTGCCATATTTGATGCAACCAATTCTACCCGGAGTAGACGCGAATTCATCCTTAATTATTGTAGGAAGGAAGACATTCTAGTCATGTTCATAGAATCCATCTGCCAAGATGAAAATTTGATCTTACAGAATATCGTGGATGTGAAATTGTCTTCGCCAGATTATAAAAATATTGACCCCGAAAAGGCGGCAGAAGACTTTCGCGCCAGAATTGCTCACTACGAACAAGCTTATGAACCAATCACAGAAAGTCATCTCACTTTCATCAAGATTATCAACGTTGGAAGTCAGGTGGTGATCAACATGATCCAAGGTTATTTGCAGAGTCGAATTGTATATTACCTCATGAACTTGCATATTTTGCCCAGGAGCATTTTCTTTAGTAGGGTTGGTTGGCGCACCAATGTGTATTCAAAAATTTGACGTTGAATTAATTACATTCTTTGGTATTAGCACGGTGAAAGCATGTATCATCTTATGGGCAAAATAGGTGGTGACTCAGATCTGTCACCTCGCGGAAAGAGATATGCCCTTGCGTTACCCAAACTTATCAAAGAGAATTTGGGTGATCAACCATTGACTGTATGTAATAACATTTATTTCTCTCGGGGTTAATTAATAATCAAACGATAATAAGGCCATCGAGTTTTACTTTTAGGTTTGGACATCGACGATGAAACGCACAATACAAACCAGTGAACATTTGCCATACCCAAAGTTGCAATGGAAAGCGCTGGATGAGATAGACGCGGGTTGTTGCGATGGGAAGACGTATGAGGAAATCGAGGTTATTTCTGGGTTTATTCACGTGATCCTTTAATTTGACTATATCTTGAGCTGAATTTTTTTTTTTTTTTTAATAGGAGACTTCCATCCGGGATCAGGACAAGTTCAACTACAGATACCGAGGTGGTGAGGTTGGTTCGAAAAAGGAAATTTAAAATCATCAAACCAAACGTCAGTTTATTAAAACAATTGTGCGCTTATTTACTTAGTCATACCGTGACGCCATCAATCGATTGGAACCAGTGATAATGGAACTTGAAAGACAACAGAATATCATGATAGTTGGGCATCAGGCTATTCTACGTTGCATGTACGCATATTTTCATAACCTACCACATGAAGATCTACCATACATAAGAATCCCTCTCCACACTGTTATCAAGCTAACACCTAAAGCTTATGGGTGCGAAGAAGAAAGATATCGATTTGATATTGATGCAGTAGATACCTATAGACCCAGACCACCGCCTAAACAAAATGCGCAGCAAACGGCGTGAATTTAATCGATTTATGTAAACAAAAAAATAATAATGGTTTGCGCATTGTTCACGTGACTGATGCTGCAACGGCAGATCAGAATAGAGGAAATACATTTATGTAGTAGGATCAACTGTTCTAAAGAAGGGAGGTTCAAAGTAGTTTTGAGTGTATATTTAGTTGAGATCGTATTGGTCTGCATTTATTTGTTAGTTATATTTAATAAAGTTTGTTATAAAAATATATTTTTTTGCGCTGTCAGAATTTATTTTTACTCATAGCAAACTGTCAAATCACTCCCCCTTATGGTCACACTGCACACCGAGGGGTGCCTTAGACAAGGGTCGTGTTTCAATTATTATGGGATCATCTTAACACGTGATCTCTAGGTTCTGTAGCCCTGGTATTATTTACCCGCCTTCACTTGTTCTGGATTCTTTTTTTTTTTTCTATCAACTTATTTACGATTGCTTTTGTGGTTGACTGCGTTATCTAGTTTCTCGCTAACCAATCTTCTTTCGCCCCTGTTGTCTTTCAATTGCGAGTTCATGTCAAATAATACTCTATTAGAAACGTATAGTAACCGTTATACATAGTTATCGCGCACGTGATTCTAATAAAACCTCACCACTTAAACAAACGTTTCAATCAAATTGATTGACCTTTTTAAGCGTTAGGAGAAGAAGGGGGGTAAAGCAAGAGAGAGAAAAACGGGTGAAGATCGGAGGAACGCAAATTTTCATCTTTGATGAATGACACCATATTAAGTAATGGTCAGTATTTAAATGGATTCGAGGTGCACAATCGTAGATATTATCAAATCTCGTTAAAAGAAATGGTCCCAATCATATTTTTGTAAACAATTGTTGCGCCATTTTTTCAATTTGCCTCCGCTCTCTTGCACGAGCTCTTTGTTCTTTGGAATTCGTAAGAAACAATATATATATGCGCACAGAAAATATAAAAATTTCTGGCGCCCTCGTCCGCATGCAAGTCTGTGTGGAGATACACAACTACAGGGAAAGCTAGAATGACATTCCCGGCTTTACATGTGACAATTCTGCTCGGATTCTTTGTTTTTGAAAGCAAGGGTGAGAGAGAAACTATTGTGTGTGTGTGTGTGTGTGTGTCTTCGACTTCTTAAACAGAATGGAAAGAGAGAGGTAATAAAAATTTGACATTCGATATTATTTCGCTGCAATAATGATTACAAGCCTCCCTGCTGCATATCCTAAAAAATCGACAATAAGAAAAAATCTGATCCACATGACTTTTGTTTTTTTTTTTTTAATACGTGCGTACGTCGCTGGACATTAGAACAACTTCCTTATTAATACAGGGAATATATGCAGTAAATGATATACAATATACAGTATATACAGTATATATGTACAGTATATATAGGGCGCGCAAGATTTTTTTAGATTAATGATAGCATATTGCAAATCACCATATAAATGAAAAAAAATTTTCAAATAAGAAAAAAACCTTAAATACTGTATATACATTAACTCTGTACTGTTGAACCTGAAGACCGAAGAAAAAAAAAAGCGGGACACACAGAAAAATATTTGATTATTTGGTATGGTTGTCGGGATCAATGTAACGCCAGGTATTCAACTTTAAAAAAAATTTTTTTTCCCTTGCATTTAAATATATATACTTAAATAAAAAATTTTTTGTTTTACCTTATTTGAGATTTTATGGTGCGTTGTTGATTTTTTATTACTTTACTCCCTTTCCCAATCTTCGGCTTTTTTTTTTTTGTTTTGTTCTTATCCCCTCCGCTTTTCGTTTACCTCCCTCTTTTCTTTTTTTCTTCTTATTTATATCTTATTATCATCCGCACTATATATTATCTAAAAAAAAAAAAAATCTATCTAGAAAGTCGTGCCGAGTTCACGACCCTTCGTATTTTACAAAAGGGAGTGTGTAAATAAAGTTATATAAATATAATAATTCAAAAAATAAAAAAATTTATCAGGACAATTTTCAAAATTTTCTGGCAAAACATTTCTTTTTTTCTTTTTTTTTTTTCCTCTTTATTTTCCTTTTTTTTCTTTTTTCTTATCTTTTTTCCTTTTCGATTACCAACTTTTTTTTTAATAACGGTTCTAGCACATTTTGATAATGGCAACAACACCACCTTTTCCTTTTTTAGCTTCGCACCCTGTATCGGTGCATACGACACCAGCGGCCGTTGTACCTCCACTGCTATCTCGCCGTTCGGTTTATTCCAGTGACCCGCGGGCTCACCTAATTAGTGCTAACAATGCCCAATCGTACGTCCAGGTCTACTCTTCCTCCTTTCCGACCGAGCACCAATTTTCTGCAAACAACAATATTCTTCCACCGATAAATTCGACCCAATTGACTAATAATAGTTTCAATGCTCCGGTTAATGGCATGCATTTTACGAGTGGCGCGTTGGCATCATCACCTCAACATGTCGGATGCCATTCGTCATCTCCGGCGATCAGACCACGACTCGAGTTAAGACGCTGTAGTGAACCGAACTATCATATCGCTTACAGATCTCCTACCACGATGAGTGGGTTCTCGTTTGAAAGTGGACAGCAGCAGCAACAGCAGTCGACATCGCCACAAAAAAAACAGGCAATTCGAATCTCAACTTTGTCAAAGATCTTGCAAAGTAATGATGATGAAGAACTCGCCAAGAATAGGCAGGTGATGCAGCAGATCAATGTAAAGAGACAAAGGTTTGGCAACATGAGAGAGGACGAAGATCGAGATAGCGAAGATTGTGATAGCAGCAGTAGTAATGGGTACCTCGATGGGTGAGTGTTGTGTGTTATTCATTGACCCTTCGATCTTTTAAATGTTGAGATCACTTATTGGTTTCCGTTGCGTAGCAGTTGCATCTCGGAATGTCTCTCACCGCAGCGAATGGTTATTACCAACAAAAGTTCATCGGTTACCACCAACGATAGTAGCGATACTGGAAGCATTTTGGGTGAACCAGTACCGCAACAGCAACAGATCCTACGCCAAAACAAAGGGCTCAGGCATTTTAGCAAACAGGTGTGCGATAAAGTAGAACTCAAGGGTGTGACGACCTACAACGAGGTAGGCATTGCAAATTTTCGGAATAGCGCTGGATCGATGCACGTGCGCATTTGAAAAGTCACTCATGATTCGGCGTTTTTTTTACGTGCATCAGGTTGCCGATGAGCTGGCAGGAGATTTTGCAGCCCAGATGAAAGAACACGGCGGGGTGAGTGAACAAACAAACATCTAGTCTTGATTTGCTAGAGGAAATTCCGATCGTTTGTGTTCATGTATTTAATACTTCTTTCTTCCACATGATTCAGCAAAAGGTGGATCAAAAAAATATACGACGTCGGGTCTACGATGCATTAAACGTGTTGATGGCAATGGACATTATTGCAAAGGATAAAAAGGAAATTAGGTGGCTAGGTTTACCTGGTCGGCAAATTGACACGAATTTGGCTTCGTCGTCTGAGACGACAGAGGTCGAAATAGATAGGCAAAATTCTGAAATCAGAGAATTAGAGGTAGTTAACGTGGAGTTGTTGTTCACTCTTTCTCTAATCGATCAACTTGTTTAATCACATATCTGAATTTGTTAAACCTACAGCGACTGAATCGACGCTTGAGCAAACAAGTGGATGAGGCTAAAATCGCCTTCCAAGAGAAAATAGCTCGTGTAAGTTTACCACATGACAAGTTTATAGTGGCGAATCAGTTATTCACAAGAACGAACGAATTATTTTATTAACATTATCTCGGCAGCACCTTCACATTCGAAACCTTGTGAAGAGAAACAAACAACGTCACGATCCCTATCGAATTTCAAATAAGGCAAAATCTGAAAAAGAAGTGTACCTTCCCTTCAAGCTAGTACACTATCCTCGAGGGACCACGGTCAACAATCAGACCGCTCAAGATGGGTTAGCTTACCAATCAATTGACAATTAATTGACTTTCCTTATTCTTGTTCACTCATACGTTTGTTAACATAATCTTCATTGATCACGTCACCAGGGTCACTCGAACCCTTTCGTTCCAACCTCACCGACCCACCATAATCGAAGATACACAAGTTCTACGGTGTCTTGGCATGGACAAGATTTCACTAGAGGACATTCATCAGTGGGTTAAACCTGAACATTTAAAGTGGATTATCACGAAACAAGGAGACGACGGAGATTATCGCATAAGCTGTAAACAGTGATGAATAATACCAACTACCACTATAAGATTTCATTCGTGAACATTATAATAATTATAAGCAACCGAACATTATTCTTTCTTTCATTGACTTTTTCTCTTTGGAGTAAGCTTACTAAATTTCGAAACTTAAGCTATCGGACAATTTTTAATAATAAAAAATTTCAATTCATTGTTTTTTTTTTTTTTTCTTTCTTTTTTTTTTTTTTTTTTCTTCTCGAACAATGTAGTGACTGGATGTAGTGTAGTGTAGTGTAATTAGTGTAATGACGAAAATCGAACAAGAGATAATGCGATATCACTCTTTCTTTTTTAATTAAAGTGACAAAATGGTCGAATGAAAGACTGAAATCTTCAAATATTGACACATGTCCGAAAATCATATCAGTGTACACTCGACCGAGTATAACAACATTCGAAGTCTTTACCTCACACCCCATTGCTTTTGCACGTGACGAAGCGTACCATACGCGCCAAAACGTTCTAACCCAAATAGAGCCGATGTGTCACCTAGCATAAATTAATGGTGAGAAGTGAATGAATTTTTGTCAATAAACTGTTTTGGATAGGAATCATACATGTGACCATAACATCGTACCATGATACCCTATAAGTGAATGATGACTCTTTGGCTAATTACCTGATGATGATGATAGAGAATTGGAGGCTAAGCCGAATTTACGAATAAATCACCAATCCGCAGACCAAAAGTCGGAGTACAATCTCATATACACATACGGCCAAAAGAGATTGGTTTTAGCGTTGAGCTTTTGGACCATTATAGAAATATGATATTCGATACTAACTTGATGCAACACCATTCCAATATCATTTTTCATACAAAAAAAAATCATGCGTCCGTGAGATCGCATAAAAAAAAAAAAAAAAAGCACCACTCAGGATTGCCTCAGGATTGTCGCAGGATCCTGACATTCTTGGTAAATTTAAATTTCGATTGATGATGCAATACATATAATACGTACAATGGTGTAGTAAATGTAGCACTGTACACGCTACGGTCACACAATAATAAATAATTAATTCTTCAAACCCTTCCAAATTCTAAAATTCCACATTACAATAATCAAAGATTGGCGGGAAATACACGGTTACAAGAAAAAAAAAACTGGCGGGAAAACTTGTGTCAAGGCGGGAGAATCAACTGACATTATTGTACTAGTTCCATTATCAAACTACCACTTTTAAATCAACCCACGTCTATACCGTTTACATATCGTTGCATACGTAAATTGTTTACTATGCGACGTTGATATCGTAAAAAGCTTTTTTTTTAAAGTTTTGGAACTGCCTAATTTATTGCATGCCGCAAATTTATGAAATGCATTAGGAATGTTCATGTGAATTGGTTGTTGAATAGACTACTACACACCATTTTGAGTTTATTTCGCTTAGGTTGCACGCACGTAAACAGAATTTATAGAAAAAACATGGTACCGAGTTAGCACGGTGTCAGCAACACAGGCTACTTGCCTACAATGCACGCGGACCACCGTACACCCTGAGGTGAGCGCAAGTGGCAAGATTACGGATGTCTTGGTGGAAAAGCCGCACAGTATCTTGGCACGAGAGAATGTGTGCGCGACCATCTCTTGTATCGATGTTTTGTGGTACGCATTCAGAAACGGTTGATTGGTTGTCATATCGAAACCTCAATATGTGATGGCCGATAATTTTTGGAGTGCCGTTATCAAAGATGAGCGTGCAACTGTCACACAGAAATTAAAGTATCTCTTGTATGTTACACGGACTATTATTAAGTGCGCGGAAACAACCTGCAGGCTTATACTTAATTTTTAAGTGGGGTGACACCGCGAGTGATCACCTTCGCAGCTTGGACAAAGACACCGATTAGGTTAGATTACAACTTTAAATATATTATTTTGATCGCCAGTAAAAAACGTTCGAAAAAATAAAAAATGACACGCAGATCGGGTTTTTTCGTTTAGGATCCAGAAGCGCAAAGAAAGCACAAGCGTGACGCACAACATTCAATGTTTTATTAAAAAACCTTAACCTTAGTCAACATAAAGTTGGAAACTCCAATGTTTATCTGCGTGATACAAATTATGGTAGGGTGGATGACCAAGCGAAAAAGACTAGTCGAAGAAGACTATCCTGGATTTTCCGGATTCTCGTTCGCTTAGTTTCAATCTCATAAATATTTGTTATCCTTTTTTTGCTGACCTTACCGTGAATTTTTTTTTTTTTTTTTTTTCTTACGAGGCTCCTTGGACTTTTTTTTTTTTTTTTTATAATCAAAATATGGATTTATTGTATTGTACTGTGTTCTTGTGATATAGCCACAATGGAGATTTCCAAGCAAGAAGTGCCCAATTTCACGTTTATGGTAAGTAAGTATCTACTGTAAAAGTGCCCGTAGATTATGATGATAACTCGTGTGTACCTTCGTGTCCAATCAATCATTTAAATAAGGTCATATTACGTTTGATAATACACAAACTTGCGTAGGTGGCGTGTAACTTGGTTGTTGTTGACATTCCCCGGGTATTTCTAAATAAATAAACCTTTAATTTAGCAAAAAAAAAAAAAAACCAATGTAATGCAAATTTGCGTGATCAATAGAAAATTTTATTATAGTATAATTAAAAAAAAAAAATAATAAACAAACATTATTATTCGTATTTCAGGTAATCGATTGCAACATTGTAAAAAGAAGAATAATAAAAATTTCAAGTAAAAAAAATTTTGATACATGAATCATATATTTGGGCGTAAAAAGTTTTTGCAATAGCGTCAACCAGGACATTACATATTCGGTATGTAACTCTATTCCTCAGCTCTACATCGGCTGACAGGATTTTTCGTGGCTGAATTATCTTCCAACATTACATCGTTTTATTTTATTACGGTAACAGTCTCCTATTTTCCTTTATTGACTAAGCGCACCGTAACGCGTTGAGATCGATTTAGAGAAACTTAAAATCAACACGTTCGTTCGATCTATGCATATACAGTATGTTCATTAAATAGTGTAATATAGTCTTTCTATAATACATATGGATTACAGTTTCAATAATAAATTAGCCACCCTTCGGAGCATACAATGTCAACTAAAGGTCATAATTTTTTCTTTTTTGCTTCTAGAATTAGGTGCCCATACTCTTATTGTGTAATCTGCAGAACAAGTAGCCAATATTGGTTCCACGGGATGAAAGTCCACCGCATAAACGAAATCGGTATGTCCTTCCAATCGCTGCAGCAGTTCTCCGGTGTTCTAATTAAACACAACACAATAGAAAGTGAGTCGATGATATTCTTCCCTAATGGAAACTCGTACAGAGAGATCTAGGAAGAGAAATTACTTCGGGACCTCCGACATTAAATATATATGAATATGGATCTGCGCTTCCTGTTGCAAACAACAAGCTTGCTTCTAATGGTTTGTCTTTTTCATAACTGACAAAATATGCAATCTGTGAATTAGATTATTCATAATGCGACAAAAAAAAAAAAAACATACACGACGCTATCAGCGGAATCGGTTTGTAATTCCTCGCCATTAAAAATGTCTTTGATTTGCGTCGCCCTTTGTGTTGCTGAATATAGATCTACATCGGGAAGGCAAGGTGTAACTATCTTTTATCGAATATTGAAGAAATTAAATTTACCAGCAATATGATTCCTAAATTACATTCTCTTCCAAGGAAAAAGGAACTTTTGATGGGCCAACCCTTGTTTTTGTAACCCTTCAAAACGTGAATCAATCGTGGCTGAGCTTTATGAGGTTCGATCCCACGATCATATATTCTTATAACTTATGAATAAAAAATAAATCAGATGCCCAATACTTCGACTGAGTAAGCGACACAATAATACCCCATAAATAAAATACCATTATCGTAGCTGTTGACAGCCATATATCGAGGTTCTTCCTCGTCATCTAAATAACGAAAAAAAACAAGATGAACTTCACCTCACCAAACAACGAGCTTTATACAGATTTACAGTAAATCCATCGAAAACCTACTAGGACTTTTCTGCGAAAATGCTACATGTGATATGGGTTTCTTGGTTGGTTCGTTAAGGAATGATTGGGATGCAGATCCTGAAAAAAGTTGTTTATATACTTTAAAACGATGTTAACGATCAAAAGAAGATAAATGATTAATTAGTCATTCACCGGCTCGAAGATCCCATGTCTTCACATAACCCAAGGAATCGCCAGTGACCACGCTTTGACCATCCCGGCAAACATAAAGTGAATTTATCATTCCATCACCCTTCAAGTTCAACGCATTATCAGGTTTCCGCGTATCAACTACTGAGAAAATTTTGCGCGAAGTTCCGTAGGCGAATATATTATTATCTGGTGTAGGATGGTGAAACGAAATGTTAACTTGCATGAAAGAAAAAATGTTTATCTGAAAACATATATATAATATACCTTGCGGATTAAACATCACGCATTGAACAAACCCTTCACTCTCAAATGAATTTGTATACCTATTTGTTTCAATGTCCCATAATTTGCAGGTTTGATCATATGCTCCAGATAATAAAACGGTAGAATCATTTGACCAACATACATCTGATACATTAAGAGTATGTCCTTTTAAACAAGCTTGCTACGATTATAAATATTCCATGAGAATTCTTATCATGCTGTGAAAAAGTTCACAGTGAGTCCTCATATTTCACCTCTTTCTGTAAAGATATTGTGTCCCATATTCGCACTGTCTTGTCAAACGATCCGGAAGCAAGCATCTTCCCGCACGGTGAAAATTGGATTGCATACACAGCGCCATTATGGCCCTGAAATTCGAATAATCAGATATAAAAAGCTACCGCGCGATCTCTGAATTACAAGAAATATGAATTGACCGTTCAAACCTTGAATTCTGTTTTTGAATGAAAGATCCTTCTTTCCCGATTTTTTTCACGCAAATTATTCCCTGCCACTATTAAAGTATCTTGATCAATCAATCAAAACCATCATTACACAACAATCAAATTAAACAATTGATCTAGAAATCTAGGGATGCAAATCAATTTCTTTTTTACCCACCTGATGAATTATCCAAGTTATCGATTATTTCCTTTCCACTATCTTGCACGGGTACCGGTTCTTCAAAGTCAATGACGAATGGCCTAACTCTTTGGTGATGTGCAGCCTCCGTATATTTAACTGATAAATCATAGATGGATTTTTTGAGTAACATGTTTTCTTTCTCTAATGCATCGACTTTTTGTTTAAGCGCTTTATTTTCTTTAATGAGTTTGTCAAAATTGTCTCTTTCGGATGATATGATGGCAACAGGTTTTTTCATCGGAGTTTCCATGTTGTAAAATTGAAAAAAAAAAAAAAAAAAAGAAAAGGATTTTGATAAAAAGTGAAAAGTCGCACAAAAATATGTTTAAATTTACTTATATCATCACTGTTGCATCATAACTATCACAACCATCACTGCCATTAAGGAAAGCAAAATTCTATTCTCGGCTATTATATTTGAAAGTAAAAAAAATAATGCGTTCATGTATTTTCTAAAATATGCCAATAGAATATTGTTAAATTCTAGTGTATAAAAAACAATGATAAAAAGTAAATTACAGTATATACAGTTATTTTTAAAAGTAACAAAAATATGATCCTACTTTTAAATAATGCATATATGTAATGCAAATTTATTCATATTCGAAAACAAATATATAATTTGTCAATTATATAATAATCCTTAATCAAACTGAAATCATATATTTATTAATCTTGTTTAATATTTGATTATTAATTCAAAAAAGAAATATTAACAAATAATATATTGAATTAATAATATTATATTATCAATCATTAAAAAACAATAATAAAAATTATATAAAAGGATTAAATTTGATTATTATAAACTTTGCGTGATCTCAAAATGATTGATATAAAAGATCGCTTTATCACACGATTGTATAAACAGTCTTTGTTTTATTGATGATAAAATCAGACAGCTATTACTATTGTAAATGAAATAACATCTTTATTTGTGGAGAATCTGGAAGTTTGCGCACAAAGGACATCCGTGCAGGTGATATGAATTGACTACTTCGACATTTGTAGCTTTCCGACACGTTTCTGCAATTGCAAAGTGAAATAAAAAATTATGTGAAAAATGTTTATTATAAAACTCGATGAAAATATCAAATTTACCTCCAAAGCAACCATATGGCTGATTGAAGCCTCTGCTAATGAAATTATGATCTTATCGATCACCAATTTGGTCGTGAGAAATGATCAAGAATGATATATTTAAGATCCATAAAAATTGATTCTACCAAATCGCCTAATTATCACAGAAGATAATTTAGTATATATAATACAAAAATTAATAATAAACTTCTGTAATCTCATTCATTTCAAGCATACATAAACATATTTAGGAATATCACCTGGACTTTCTTTACTTTTCGGTTGCTGATTAATTGATTTTCGGACCCTTAACCGAACTTTTAAACGATACTCCTTTCGTTTCAGTGGTGTGCTTCCTAATGGCTTGAACTTGAGTTTAAGATTGGTACGCCATTTACCACACAAGAAAGGTCTAACTTGCGTTGGCAACAGTTCAGTAATGACTCATATTCGTTCTCATCCGAAAAGAATGGACAAATGATTGGGTGAAGAAATATATAACAGTACTCATCCTCAGACATCTTTGGCGAAGCAACCTTCGAGACATTGTGATATATTGAAAATAACTATGAGCCACAAGTTCGAGGACGTATTATAAAATGTGTAAACTTACAGATCATTAAATGAGCGTGCAACGGCCTACTTAATTTCAATCCTCCACCCTCAATGCATACGTACTTGTTAAGAAATTGGTTAAAAGATGATTCGCGAAGAGATAAGGAGATTTCTGGTGGAAGTGGGGTTCTTTAATGATGTAAGGGTAATATTTCTACTCAATAGTAATAAATTTTTGTAATACAGTATTAGATAATTAATTTTTTAAGGTATTGAAGTAAAATTAATTGTTGCGACTTGGGAAGACACATCGAACACAATAGATCATAAACGACTCAGAGCTGAACAGCCCATCAAACACAATGGATTAACAACGAACTATTCAAATCATTGAGGCGCGTAGACGTGGTTATAGGCACTAACATCAGAACACAATAGATCATCAATAACTCAGAGTAGAGAAGTTCGTATCGAATACGATAAATCAACAACGAACTTTTCAAATCATTGAGTTATCGTTGATATAGTGCCTACTAAAATAATGACAACTTTATTATTGTTACTTACTTCAAAAAGTTTCCAGAACAGATACTGCTATAGGTTGTTGTTTGCTTGATCCACTTCTTGCTATCTTACGTAAGGTCGTAATATACGTATATTGTTCTTTCTGCTTATCTGTTGTCTAAATGTCTTCATTCTCTAAACTTCAGAAATTTAAAAAGCGACCATTCCGAAGACTGAAAAACGTAGAATTCAACATAATTTTGCATTGTCCAAGTATCCCAGCAAAAACACCCGATTCCGTAAGAGGGGTTATTACAGCCAATCAAAATGAGATTATCATGAA